CCTCTGGGGGAGGAGGAGGGTGAATGGACTGGGAACCCCTTATGAGTTTGCTGGGCAGCATACTCATGAGGGTTGTGGCCATGAATTTAAAGTCAGACTTGTCACATGATCTCTTGAGAACAGGCTGAATTAAGAATGACAGAGTCTGGGTCTTAATGTTTTTTTTTTTCCCCCAGTAATTAAAAAACTGCTGTACTGAAAAAAGCAAATTGTAAAGCAGTAGTTAATAGTATCCCATAATGACTGTATTAGAAAATGTCTGAAAAATACATACCAAAGTGATGTTATCCCTGTAAAGGGGTAAGGAGACTTTATATATTTATAAATTATTTGAGCTTTTAAAATAAAGCATATGTATTTTTTATTAAACATTTTATTATGAAATATTTTACATATCTAGGAAAGTACATTCCACCAGTATTTATTGTATGCCTACTGTGTGCCAGGAGTTTTCTAAGCACAAATAAAAATAGGTAGACAAAATAATAGTTATCCTTGTGGAGCTCTCTTTATAGTGCAATATAAATGAAGACTTCTGAGTGTCTTCTGCCTAGATTTAACTGATATTTGCCATATTTGCTACTAATTAAAAAAAAAAAAAGTATTTCTGATACACCTTGCTGGCCTCACTGTTTCTCTTCTTCCAGTTCTTCTCCAGGTAGCTACTCTTCTAACTTCATGTATCTTTGCCATCCTATGTTAGTACTTTAATAAACCTTTTTTTTTTAAGATTTTATTTATTTATCTGACAGAGAGAGACAGCAAGAGAAGGAACACAAACAGGGGGAGTGGGAGAGGGAGAAGCAGGCTTCACGCTGAGCAGGGAGCCCAACGTGGGACTTGATCCCAGGACTCTGGGATCATGACCTGAGCTGAAGGCAGACACTTAAAGACTGCCACCCAGGCGCCCCCTATGTTAGTACTTTAAAAGAAACATTCATATATATCCACAACATATGTATGGCCTTATTTGTTTAAACATGTTTCTAATACATACTTGTAGTTACTCTTATTTCATTTCGTTTTTATTAATAGTATATGTACGTGGCTTAAACATCAGATGGTTTTACATGCAAAACAGTTGTCCTGTTATACTTCTTATATTCTGCTCTTATTCTGCTCCTCAAAAGCAGTCAATTTCAACCTCTCCCTCATTTTTTTTTCTTTACCTATTTCTTCCTGTATTTACTTCCATGTGTCAGAAAAAACTTGCTTAATCTTAACCAGTTTATTTGTTGTAGGTGTTTTCCATCAACTTTCCAATACCTAATGTGATTTAGCACTCTCACTCCTCTGCTTTCCAGCATACAGAGTTGTCTCTTCTTCCCACCTTTTGTTTTTAAGATTTTATTTATTTATTTTTTTAAAGATTTATGTATTTATTTTAGAGTGTGAGAGAGAGAGAGAGAGAGAGTATGTGCAGTGGAGAGGGGCAGAGGGAAAGGGAAAAGAGAGAGACAGAATCTCAAGCAGGCTGAGTGCAGAGCCTGATACAGAGCTCAATGTCATGACCCCGAGATCACAACCTGAGCCGAAACAAGAGTCGGACGCCTAACTGACTGCACCACCCAGTGCCCCTAAAAGATTTTATTTTTAAATCATCTCTACACCCCATCGTGAGGCTTGAACTCACAACCTGGAATTGCATGTTCTACTGACTGAGCCAGCCAGGCACCCCCACACCTTTTTATTATAGATTTTCACTAAATTAATATTCAGAGTTTTCAGTATTATGATCAGGTAAATATTTTTCAGAACTGAGCCAGGTGTATGTAGTACTATGATTACATTTCCTTTCTTGTATGACTTTTTATTTTTCTTGGTTAATAAATGCTTCATTTTTTCCTTTGCATGGATTTCTGTTTCCATGTCTAATTTATGCCCAAACTCTGCCAAGTATAAATTCCTATTCAGTATATTTTTAAAAAGCAATTTTAAATTTGTTTTGGAAACATCCCTCTTGAAATTCTTCTTTGTTCTTCGAAACTCTTTTTTGTTCTTCTGTGGACTGATTATTTTCTGGGTCTGTTGCATAACTGTAGTCAAGGTATTCTTTTCTTTAACCATTATTGTAGAAATTCCTTTTATTTCTCTTCTCTTTTCCATTCTTGTTGACTTACCCCTTTGTGTGTTTTTAAAATAATTATAAATGGTATACTGTACAAATTTCTACAACTTGGTGTTCACTCAGCATTATTTTTAAGACTTACTTGTGTTGATACATGGAATAAATCTAGTCTATTTTAATTGTTGTATAGTATGTCATTGTATGAATGAGACAGTTTTTTCATTTCCATATGGATAGATATTCTCACTAATATTTAAGACCTTAAATTTTTACCTAACTGTTGGATGAAATTTGAATATCACTATTATTTTGGTTTGTATTTCTTGGCCACTGGTGAAGTTGAACATCTTTTCTCATTTTGACCTCATGTGTATTTTTTTGTAATTGTTTATATATTTTGCCCAATTTTTTCCCAAAATGAATATGTTAGGAAATTAAAATTGTTAAAAACCACAGAAATTCTTTGAGATATGAAGAAAGTACTAAAGGCAGATTGTTAAGATTTTGTGTCACAGTGTCATTTTATGACTTTCTTTAACTTGCGGTATTAGACTGTTTTAGAACTCACAGTCCTTAAAACCAAGTATCCTGCAGGAACATTTTTAATTAAAAATGTTAAGGTCTAAGTGGAATATTCAGTATAATTCATTAATCTACTCATTATTAACTTTCCAGTTCACACAAAAGATGTTGGACAACTTCTACAATTTTGCTTCATCATTTGCTGTCTCTCAGGCCCAGATGACACCAAGTCCATCTGAAATGTTCATTCCAGCAAATGTGGTTCTGAAATGGTATGGGACATTTTGTATCTCTAATATTAAGGCTTTTAGTAACCATATATATTTTTTGCCGGTGAATGTATTTCTTCTTTGACATCTAAACATATTCTTTTATTGTGAACATCAGCATATGTTTACAGTGGCATGCCATTAAAAAGTATACTATGGAGTTCACATCAAGGAATGTTCTTACCCTCAATATTGTTATATAGTAGCCATTTTGAATTTATAAAGACAAGAAAATACAATTGCCTATGTGTAGGGACCACAATTAAGGCTGTAAATTTTTTAATATTTTTATTTATAAGTAACCATATATGAGTCTTGAAATACAAAGCAGTATTTTTTTGTAAGTTTAGAAAGCTTGGTCTAAAGTAGATATACATCAGGCATCAGGATGATATATACTGTACCTTGTACTTAAATGATTAGTAAAATTTATTTCCCTAGCTTTCCCATAATTCTGTTTTATAGGTATTCTTTTCACTTTGAATATCCCAGTGGTGGGGGATACATGATAATTTGTTGAGCAGTGGTAGCATGGTGTAGCATGGATAGCTCTGGAAGGTATTAGGTTTGAGCTTTTGTTAAAATGTAAGTATATGATCTTGAGCAAATTCCTCTCGTCTACTCATCTGTGAAATGAGGGAGGAGGAGTGAGATTTGATTTTTTTTTCTTAGGTCTAGCTGTCAGGCTTGCAGAAGGTAAAAAATTAATAAAATTTATTATGATTTGTGCTCTCTAGTACAAGCCAGTCATACTTAAATCACAATGCTTACTGTCCTTTTATAAGAATAATTAAACTTCCAGATTAACTTTTTAGCTTTTTTGGCTTTTTATCTTAGCTTTTTAGAAGTGACATTTAAGGTTGTATGCTTTTTGAGAAGTCATTTGGTAGATTATGAAAGATTTCATTTTCTTGTTAATATGTTTTTTCTTTTGTAGGTATGAAAACTTTCAAAGACGACTAGCACAGAACCCTCTCTTTTGGAAAACATAATTTGAATAAAATAATTTTTAATGGATTCTGAAATTTGTCATGTTTTGAAGAGAAATGCCTCCATTTAAAAGTATGAAGTCAAAAGGATCATGAAGCCTAAGTTTAAAAACTGCCTATTGACTGAAACTTAATGAAAATCTTTATAAAAAATTAAAAATATGGAAAAATGAAAATATGTTCCTTATTAATGAGTTTTTCTCTTAAACTTAAAATATTCAGAGGCAAAACACTTTGTTTCAGCTAGGATTCATTTTTTACTTAAAAATAAAACATATTCATAACAATAGTGTGCCACATGCCATTGCATTTATAATCTTTCATTTATTTTTATAGTGGTTTGCTAGAGTAGTTAACTTAAAATCAACTATATCAAAATTTGGGGGCCTTTTGGAAAACATATCAAATATACATTTTTATGTACAGAGAAATTATATTCAGTTAGTATTTCTTAAGATTACAAGTTTTTCCATTAACACAGGTTGGTTGTCAGTTATATATCTGCAAATTCATACATTATTATTTGTTTAACAAAATTGCCATGGTTAATACTGATAAGGTTTTATTTAATACTGGTAATGTTGTGAGGCATTTGTGTGTAGAATATAGGATTTAGTACCTTTGCCTATTAAGTTGAAGCCATTGTGTCTCATTCAGAAGGGAGCACTTGATTCATTTATACTAGTGACATCCATTGACCAAAAACCACCCAGTAATCAAAGCTAGGCTTATTAGCTTGCTGCACCAAGCAAGTACAAATACCAGAGGAACTGTGGGGTATCTCCAAAGGAAGGGTACATATAGGAGTTTGGGGCCTCAGGTTAGTTTTGAAACATTTTGGTAAGGATTGATGAAAATTTGGAAACTAGAGAGTTGCTGGTACAGTTAGTGTCATTAGGACACGTGAGCCTGTGCAGAATTACCATTATATCAGTTTGTGGTTTTATCTTGAAACATGTATCTGATTGAACTAGCAGTAAGAGTTTGAGCTTAGGCAATGTCTTTTTTTTTTTTTTTTTTTAAGATTTTATTTATTTGACAGAGACAGTGAGAGAGGGAACACAAGCAGGGGGAGTGGGAGAGGGAGAAGGAGGCTTCCCGCGTAGCAGGGAGCCCGATGCGGGGCTCGATCCCAGGACCCTGGGATCATGACCTGAGCCGAAGGCAGACGCTTAATGACTGAGCCACCCAGGTGCCCCGGGCTTAGGCAATTTCTTGTGTTGTCAAAGTTTGGTAGACTTAGGCGTTTTACAAGCTGTACATTTTTGCAAACTGTAGTTTCTCTTTCAATTCTCAATTCTCTTCTGGTCTTTCTTCAGCCTGTGTTGAAGGATAGACCATTATCTTCTGGAGTTGTGATCAAGACAGATTAGTATTGCTCTTTACTGGGTTAGAATTGAGTATCAAGTATCCAATGGTAGTTCTTACTTAGTCTCAGGTCTTCATGTTAATAATAGTTGATTGTTGTTAAATCATGTGACTTGGGAGTAGCTACACAACAGCATTTAAGGCTCAGAACAGAAAGCATCTGCCAACTGTAGTAAAATTATCAGAGGCAAAATAAGTATTCTACTAGAATGCAAAGCCAGGAGGCTAGGTTACAAAACCCAAGCTACAAAAACATATTCCAAAGTCCAGGTGGGTCTATTCTATAGAGTCAGGTAGCTTCTTTCTTTAGCTTAGTCAAAGACTATTGTACCTGTCTAATGATTTTTATAGACCTTTATATATAATAAATGAAACTGCCCTTTGGCTTGCCACAAGGAAATAGAAGACTATGTCATTGCCCATGACAATCCTGGGTAGTGAACTTAAACTGGTTTCTTGGGCTTCCATAGCATGAGTCGAAATTTGAACCACCTTTTCTAGTTGTATTCAAGAGAGTTAACACTTTTGAGAACTCTCCTGTGTATCCAATTCCTGCTTCATTTTGGAAGTCTTTGGTTATCCTTCCAAGGAAACATGCTACCGTGAATAGAAAAGGGCTTTAAATATCTGAAAACTTCTTAACAATTATTCTGTGCACAAGATAGGTTTGGGTTTAGGAGGTAGGCAAGAATCTGGTGTAGACCTAATTAATCCCTGGTGAGTTAGAGATAATATTAGGGATATAAATGATATTTATCACAACAGAAATGAGCCAATAATTGTTTCCTTGAGCTGAGCACATTGTGGAGTTTAGTTCCTGCATACAAGTTTGGAAAATCTTTGGAGAAAATGACTAGTGCAGTGAGAATAGCATTTGTTCCCTTCCCTGGTGAATCTGGTTCTGCTGACAATGCTGTTATGATTATGGTAGAAGCATTTTGTTGACTTGGAGTAAACTCAGTTTTTACAAGAATGAAGGCTGCGGCTACCGATTAAGAGGAAAATTCAAATATCAGAAGAGACCTTTGGGAAGAAACTGGTCTCAGGAGTTTAAAGGAAGAGATACTACATCTTTTACGGTGGAATTTGACAGTTTCAAAGAGTAGCTGTGGTCTAGAAAACGGAAAAGTTTTGCATTCTTAAGGTGGCCAAAAAAGACCACAGAGGATTAAGAATAAGATCCTTAAATATGTAAAATAAAATCCTTAAATACGTAAGAACATATTGAGAAACCTTTATCTCTAGGAGGTGCCAAACTATAGTAAGCAAAAGAGGGGAAAAGAGCAAAGGTATCAGAAAATTGATCATGTTTTTTGCCTTGGGCAGAAGCAGTTCATTTTCTGTTATCTGCTTGACTTGAGGGTTTGATTAGCAGTTTTCCTTCAAAGATAATGGCTTCTGTAAGGAAGACACTTGTTATGAGCACTGGGTGTTATATGTAAGTGATGAATCACTAAATTCTGCTCCTGAAACCAATGTTAAACTGTAGGTTAACTAACTACAATTTAAATTAAAAATTGGAAGAAAAAAAAATACAATGGCTTCTGGAGAATCCCTGAGAATCACTCACTGAAAGTCTCCTGATGGAGTGGTTGTCCAGCTGTTTGGAGAAGATACTTGTCATTTAGTTGGGAAACATGAATCCAGGAGTCATTGTCTTGGACTCTCACTGCCATGCTAGTTACAGTATCTGATAAGCTTATTTTTCATTGAAGGCAATTTTCATTTCTCTGATGTCTCTTCCAGAAGACTATATTTGCCGAAGATTGAGGATGTTACGAAAATTGATGTTTTTGTAGAATGGAGGAGAGTTGAATTCACTGTTGCGGTATAGCACAATTATAAGATTATTGTAAGTTATTATTATTAGACGACAAAGGTATTATGGACAGTGACAGTTTTCTAGGCCTGTAATTTATCCCATAAAGTATATGTTTTTTATAGACAGTTCTTGTATCAGTCTTTATGTAAGCATATTTCTTTTTACCTGAAATGTACACAGTCATTTGCTATGGTCTGAATGTGTATGTTCCCACAAAATTTATATGTTGAAATCCTAATGCCCAGTGTGATGGTACTAGGGCCTTTGGCAAATGATTAGGTCATAAGATTAATGCCCTTATAAAAGAGACCCTGAAGAGCTCCTTTGCCCCATCCACTGTGTGAGGATACATGGAAAAGTCCATGACTTGCAAGAGGGCCTTCACTTGACCACACTGGGCACCCTGATCTTGGGCTTCCAGCCTCCAGAACTGTGAGAAACAAATTTTTGTTGATAATAAGCTACCTAGACTCTGGTATTTTGCTACAGCAGCTAGAATGGATCAAAACACCCTGAAACATTTTTATTAACACATTTTACTTATGCATAATTTAATCTAGGAAGGTTGAACTCTTGATTTTCCAAGTTTTTTTTCTTTTGATTTTTAAAAACTTAACAATAGTTTTGAATTAATTAAAATTTGGAGAATGGGCACCTGGGTGGCTCAGTCGTTAAGCATCTGCCTTCAGCTCAGGTCATGATCCCAGGGTCCTGGGATCGAGTCCCACATCGGGCTCCCTGCTCGGCAGGAAGCTTGCTTCTCCCTCTCCCACTCCCCCTGCTTGTGTTTCTGTTCTCGCTATCTCTCTCTGTCAAATAAATAAATAAAAATCTTAAAAAAAAAAAAGAATTAAAAAAAATAAAATTTGGAGAATGTCAATTAAACTTAATTTTTCCTATTATTCTTTCTTCTATAAAGTGAAGGAAACCCAAAGAGTTCATGCAAAAAAGACATCTTAACAGTTTTATTATGCCTGAATTTGGGAAAGGCAAAATCATAAAGAGATGTCAGAGGAGACAAGATATGAACATGAGTCAAAAAATATCCAAAGGCAAGAAATAATCTCAGCCAATATCTATATTCAGTATACTAGGAAAAAGAGTAACACCATTTACCATCTGTGCCCCATAAATGCTTCTAAGTCACTTGAACAAGTAAAAGGATGGTAAACAACTTTATTAGAATTTTAAATAATGAGAAAGTAGCAAACTATGTTTCATATTTTCATAGATTTGATGCCATATGTACCTGATAAGGGCATTGTCTTCTAAATGTAACTCAGTTGTTATGTATGAACCTGAAACATGTCCATCTTGTAAATGTTGATTTTAGATTTCAAATACATCTCTAATAGGGTCTACCTTATCATTACTTTCTGGTTCTTGTATCAGCAAAATGCAAATACTTGAAGAATTAATTGAAAACTGACAGCAAATGATTTTGTTGAAAAGAGAGTGGCTGTCTTCTTAACTCCATAGTTATAAGACATTATCATTTTTAGATTTATAACTACATGTTAGAATGATCAAATTATTTTTCATTCTGTGTCTCCTATTTCTTTCCATAACTTTGTGTACACATCTATTTCAGCATTTGCCTATTTAAAAAAAGAGCTTTATTGAGATATAATTCACATACCATCACATTTGCTCAAAGTGTACAATTCCGTGTACATGTTTGTGCAACCACCATCAATCTAATTTTAGAACATTTTCATATTCCCTAGAAGTTCCATACCCATCATTAGATTCATCCATGTTACAGGATATCAGTACTTCTTTCCTTTTTATTGCTGATATTATTCCATTGTATAAATATATACATTTAATCTATACATTAGTCGATGGACATCCCCCCCTCCATTTTTTGGCTACTATGAACAATGCTGCTTTTAACATTCATCTACAAATTTTTTTCTTTTCTAAGATTTTGTTTATTTGAGAGAGAGAGCACACAAAGGGCAGAGGCAGAGGGAGAAGCAGGCTCCCCACTGAGTAGAGAGCCCAGCATGCGGCTCGATCCCAGGGTGCTGAGATTGGGACCTGAGCTGAAGGCAGATGCTTAACCAGTTGAGCCATGCAGGCGCCCTTGTCTACAAATTCTTATGTGGATTTATGCTTTCATTTCTCTTGGGTATAGAAGAGTGGAGTAAAAAAAAAAAAGTTACTGGATTATATGGTAACTGTTTAACTTTTTAAAGAGCTGCTGGACTGTTTTCCAGAGCATTTGTACCATTTTACATTCCCATGAGCAATGTATGAAGGTTTTGATTTCTCTACATCCTGTTAACACTAGTTATTGTCTCTTGATTGTGGCCATTCAAGTGGGTATGAAGTGATATCTCATTTTGGTTTTGATTTGCAATTTTCTAATGACTAATGATGTTGAGTATTTTTATGTGCTTATTGGCCATTTGTTTATGTTCTCTGAAAAAAATATTCAAATTCCTTGCCCATTTTTTAATTGGATTGTTTTCTTACTGTTATATATTCTAGACACAAATCCCTTATCAGATCTATGATTTGCAAATATCACCTCCCATTCTATGGATTGTCTTCATTTTCTCGATGATAATATTAGTTGCAGCACAGAAGTTTTTAGTTTTGATATAGACCAATTTATCTTTTTTTTTTTTGTCACTTATGCGTTTGGTGTCATATTGAAGAAACAAAGGACTTACCCACGGTTGTAATGATTTATTCCTACGTTTTCTTTTTTTTTTTTTATAAAGATTTTATTTATTTATTTGACAGAGAAAGACACAGTGAGAGAGAGAGCACAAGCAGGGGGAGTGGGAGAGGGAGAAGCGGGCTTCCCCATGGAGCAGGGAGCCCATGCGGGGCTTGATCCCAGGACCCTGGGATCATGACCTGAGCCGAAGGCAGACGCTTAACAACTGAGCCACCTAGGCGCCCCAATTCCTGCGTTTTCTTTTAAGAGTTGTATAGTTTCAGCTCTTCATTTAGGTCTTTGATCCATTTTGAGTTAATCTTTATGAACGGTGTTGGGTAGGGCTTCAAGTTCACTCTTTTGCAGGTGGATATCCAGTTGTCCTAATACCATTGTCTACTTTTGCTAATTTTGGTGCACAAGCATAAAAGATGAAAGAATAGGTGACTAGGATTATCAGGAACTTTTATCTTTTCAAAAGTGGGTAGCTTTTTTCAAAAATGATTTAACAGTGTATATCAAAGTGCTCATAGAATATTTAGTGTTAAAAGAAGCCTCATTGATCTCAGCACAGTGATAGCTTTCCTGTTTTACCAGAAAGAAAATCCAAATTATAGTATTACTCATTTTATTTTTTTTTTGTAACAACACCTAGTAACGGCTTCATGAGCCTGTCGTGAAGAATTTTTGTAAGGGGGATGCCTGGGTGGCTTGGTCAGTTGAGCATCTGCCTTCAGTTCAGGTCATGATCCCAGGGTCCTGGGATCAAGTCCCACATCAGGCTCCCTGCTCAGCGGGAAGCCTGCTTTCCCTCTGCCTGCCACTCCCTCTGCTTGTGCTCTCTCTCTGACAAATAAATAAATAAAATCTTTAAAAAAAACACAAGAATTTGTATAGGTAAGAGGATGTACATGTAGAGTAGTAATGAACACTTTTTCTACCTAGATAAAAAAATTATTTTGCCCTAAAAGGAGTCTGGTTGTGCGAGGTTATAAAAGAGTACTTTTTTGAAAGACAAATTTAAGAGTGTACAGAAAGTGTAGAAGGTTTGAGGGGTAAACTTTATTCATCTGGGTTTATAATGAGGTACAAGTAATAGTTCGGAAAGGATCAATGAATGTGTTAAAACTTTTGACAAAGTTGGTTAAATGTAATGAACGTATTCACAAGCCTGAGATTATGACCTGCGCATCCCCCCTACACAAATTCTTTTATATTCCTTCAAAATGAACATAATCTAAAGGCCTACTCCATTTATTAAATAAAAGCACATGTGGGGCACCTGGGTGGCTCAGTTGGTTGGGCATCTGACTCTTGGTTTTGGCTCAGGTCATGATCTCAAGTTCGTGGGATTGAGCCCTGCTTCCGACTCTGTGCTTTGTGCCGAATCTGCTTGATATTCTTTCCCTCTCCTTCTCCCTCCCCCTCTTCTCCTCCCCCCACCCCCATTGCTCGTGTACTCTCTCTCATATAAATAAATAAATTAATTAATTAATTAAATAAAATTTATAAATAAGCACGTTTGGCAAAATTATATTGCCTAGTTGTTAAAGATTATTTATTAAATATATATTTATATTCTTAAAGTTAACTAACACTCTGGAAATCACAAATTAAGCTGCTGGAGGAAGTCCTTTTGGTTGTAGCATAAGAATTCCATAAATTTAAAATCTCTAAAGACTTTTATTATATAATTTCATTTTGTTAGACACATTTTAGTTTTTTGTAATTTAAATGACTTGTGGAAACGATGTTAACCCATATAACCTGTATAATAAATTTATAAATAATATAAATGATATAAATGTATAAATAATAAACCTATATAATAAATATAATAGACACTTTAAACTATGGGAGGAAAAAACCCTAAGCTGTACCAACTAGAATATATTTCTTTAAGATTTTATTTATTTATTTGAGAGAGAGAACAAGCATGAGGGGGGAAGGGCAGAGGGAGAAGCAGACTCCCTGCTGAGGAGGGAGCTCAACGTGGGGCTCCATCCCAGGACCCTGAGACCATGACCTCAGCCCCTTAACCAACTGAGCCATCCTGGCACCCCCCAACTAGAATATTTTTACATTGTGGTAAAGTAAGGAAGAAAAGTGATATTAACTCAAGTTTGTACAGAAGCATCTATATTTCAAGAATATTAAATGAAAATTTTCTAATGTAATTTATAAACCTGTGTTCATAAATCAAATTTAAAAGACTTTAAATTATGGCTAAAAGCTCTGCTTTGCTTTTCTTTTTTCTCATAACTATTGGCTTAACTAATGACAGTTAAAATCTTTTTTTCAGAGCTGCAGATGTAACAGATGTTTTTCCTTAGAAGGACCAAAAATGTAAAGAATTAGGAGATTCCCCCCCCTTTTTGGAGTTTCTTGAATTATTTCTTTAAATTTATGTGGGTATTTAATATAAACCAATTAGCACAGGAGCTTCTGTAGATTTTTAAAAAATCCCTTATTATCTGATTCATTCCTCTTCTGATTTAGGGTGCTTCTCAAATAAACAATTTTGTTCATGTCAAAAATTTCCCTAAGTGGCCACTTGTAATTCCAAATTGCCTTTGGTGAATTTGTCATTGAGAAAGGTATGTGCAAAAATGAGAACATAGAGGCCAGAATTCTGCCAAGAGGTAGCTCAAGTGTTTTGCTGATGAGCCATAAGACAACCAGGCTGACTTAGGTTGAAAGGGAAAGTTTTGCTTGTGTGAGTCTCTAGGGTCATTGCTCAACAGCCTCCTGGCAAGTGGAATATTAAGAGAGTATCTTTCCTAAAGCCAGTATTTCACACAGACAAGACTAAAGAGCATTCTTATATGGTCTTAAAAAGGTTAAATTTTAAGAAGTTTGCCTAAATGATGCCAGATTATTAAGACCTCGTGAATTCATGAGTCCTTCAGAGGGAAGTTTGGAAGACAGATTTAATGGATCTTTAACTGTCCATGAACTTCTTTTTTGGACATGCAACAGTACTATAGACAATAGACAAGCAAAATGGCCAATGATAAATCAAAGATTTGTCAGACCTTTACCAAGGAAAATGATTAAATATCTAATTAGCTAGCCAAGGAATCCCAGGGGAATTTCTTCCCAGGACAAAACCCAAAACTCAACACTGAATAACTCATTGAAATAACTGGAATGTAATTTCAGCTCAAGATTGACCCTGAGCAAGGGGAAGCTAAAGGGGGTTCAGACGTGCATACTGCTACCAGTTGATGGTCCACACCATGATACCAAGGATCTCAGGGGAACCTAAAACCTATTAAGGTCTATAATACAAAGACCACTAGGCATAAACTCTTACTCAAAGTTAGGTTTATTAGGATGCTGTAGCAAGGGAGAGTGTACACTAAGAGAACAGTAGGGCATCTCAAATGGGAAGAATTGGGAGGGGGTTTTGGGAGCTAGAGTTAGTCTTGGATTATTTTGGCAGGGACACATTGTTGAAACAGTGGTCTTTAGAGTGTTGTATGTAAGTGATGAATCACAAAATTCTACACCTGAAACTAATATACTGTATGTTAACTAACTGGAATTTAAATACAAATTTGGAGGAAGGAAAAGTCAGTGGTCTTTAGAACACATGAACCCAGGTAAGGTTAATGTTACACCAGTTTGTTTGAGGTCTTAGAATATATAGGTCTGTATGAGTTTAGATGATTTGTTTTGCATGTTAAGGTTTGATACAGTTTCTCTCTTGAGAATCATGTATATATGTTTGGCCAGTTGGAGTTTCTGTTTGAATTCTCAGTACTCCCAAGAAAATATCCATAGTTCAAAAAGACAACATTTATAGACTAAGACATTTATTGCATAACTTAGAGTGGTGGTCTTTAGCATATTTTTTGGGGTGTTATTTTAGTCTTAGTTTAGATTTTCAGTGGTATCTTAATAATGCATCAGGTCATGGAATTATGAACATTTGTTGGTGACATTTGAGGATATCTCCTTTGGTTTCATTATGTGCATTTTCTCTTTATAGATTCTATTTTTTTTCTTTTTTAAGATTTTATTTATTTATTTATTTGAGAGAGAGACTGAGAGAGAGCATGAGCGGGGGAGGGTCAGAGGGAGAAGCAGACTCCCCGCCGAGCAGGGAGCCCGATGCGGGACTCGATCCTGGGACTCCAAGATCATGACCTGAGCCGAAGGCAGTCGCTTAACCAACTGAGCCACCCAGGCGCCCCTAGATTCTATTTTTCTTAACTGAGATTTGTTTTGTTATTGAAGCTAGTTTATATTGATTTCAGGGATTTTCCTATGATCATTACGATAGTCGTCAGGTATTAAATCTAGACTAAAAGCATGTGAAATTGGTTAGGCTTATGTACTTTATCTTCCTTACTTGATCTCTGGCCTGCATTAATGGAAATGGAGAGAAGGACTATTATTTCAGTGGTGGCTATGTTTAAAGAGCCTTATAATGTTGGCAGAATTGTCGTGTCTGCTGCTTACCAATTCTTGTATGATTTAAAAGATCCTTTCGTTACTTAAATATTGAAATCAATCTAATCTCTAATTAGTCTTTGGGAAAACCACAGAATGTTATCCTCCTTCACAATTTACCATGTATTGCATTCTTTCTTGCTCAACATTAAAAGGAAATAAAAAATTAATTTCACTAAAAATATTGTTTCTTGAAAGTATAGTGAGATAATATTTTGCATTACATTGTGGCCTGTAGAGTTAGATGTTTTCAGACATTTTTTTACTTCAACTGATTATTTGGCATATTCAGTATCTCAGTACCTTTGTCCCATTCCTTTTCTATCACCTTCTATCACCTATCAACCTGAATTTTGAATAAGTCCAATATATGTGCCTTTTTTTTTTTTTTGTAAAAGGCAGTGAATGTTGTATAAGAAAACCTGTAACCACAATCTCTAACTTATATTTTTTGATAAACTTTTATCTCATTCACCACAACCATTATTTTATCCTCTGGCTGCTTTTAAGGTTTTCCCTTGTCTTTTGTTTTCAACGGTTTGCAAATGATTTGCCTAAGTTGTTTTTTATTTTGTTTTTGTTTTTTTTAGTCCTGCTTAGTGTTTTCTGAGCTTCTTGGATCTGTGATTTGATGTCTGTAATTAATTTTGGAAAATTCTTGGTCATATTATCTTTCAATTTTTTGTCTCGTTCTTTTTTTTTTTTAAGATTTTATTTATTTGTCAGAGAGAGAGCACAGGCAGGAGTGGCAGGCAAGGGAGAAGTAGACTCCCTGCTGAGCAAGGAGCCCGATGTGGGACTCCATCCCAGGACCCTGGGACCATGACCTGAGCCAAAGGCAGATGCTTAACAACTGAGCCACCCAGGCATCCCTGTCTCGTTCTTTCTATGATTCTAGTTATGTGTGTGTTAGACCACTGATTTTGTCTCACAGCTCTTTTCTGTTTATTTTCACGTTTTTCTCTCTTTGTGTTTCAGTTTGGTAATTTTCTTTTTTTTTTTTTTAAGATTTTATTTCTTTATTCATGAGAGACACAGAGAGAGAGGCAGAGGGAGAAGCAGGCTCCCAAGGAGCAGAGAGCCCGATGCGGGACTTGATCCCAGGACCCTGGGATCATGACCTGAGCTGAAGGCAGACGCTTAACCATCTGAGCCACCCAGGCATCCTCAGTTTGGTAATTTTCAACAGACCTATATTCAAGTACACTAAATTTTTCCTTGGCTTGTTAAGTCTACTAATAAGCTGGTGGAGGCATTCTTCATCTCTATGACTGAGTTTTAAATTTCCAGTATTTTCTTTTTTTTAATTAATTAATTATTTTATTTTATTTTATTATGTTATGTTAGTCACCATATATTACATCATTAGTTTTTGATGTAGTGTCCCATGATTCATTGTTTGCGTATAACACCCAGTGCTCCATGCAATACGCACCCTCCTTAATACCCATCACCTGGCTAACCCATCCCCCCACCCCCTCCCCTCTAAAACCCTCAGTTTGTTTCTCAGAATCCATAGTCTCTCATGGTTTGTCTCCCTCTCCAATTTCTCCCCCGTCATTTCTCCCTTCCTACTATCCTTTTTTTTTTTAACATACAATGTATTATTTGTTTCTTTTTTAAAGATTTATTTATTTTAGGGAGAGAAAGCGTTTGCGTGAGCGGAGGGTGGGAGCAGAAGGAGAGGGAGAGAGAATCTCAAGCAGGCTCCCTGCTGAGCATGAAGCCCAATGTGCAGCTCAGTCTCACAACCCTGAGATCACAACCTGAGCCAAAGACAAGAGTTGGATGCTTAACCAACTGTGCCACTCAGGGCTCCTTTCTAGTATTTTCATTTATTTTTTTTTTCTATAGTTTCCATTCCTTTGTTGATATTATCTATCTGATCTTATATATTGTCCATCTCTTCCATTGGAGACTTAACATACTTATTTTTAATTCCCTATCAGTTCCAACATATATGTCATATCTGACTCTAGTTCTTTTTTTTAAAATTAACATATAATGTATTATTTGTTTCAGGGGTACAGGTCTGTGATTCTTCAGTCTTACATAATACCCAGTGCTCAATACAACACATACACTCCTCAGTGTCCATCACCCAGTTACCCCACCCATCCACCCCCCTCCCCTCCAGCAACCCTCAGTTTGTTTCCTAAGATTAAAATCTCTTATGGTTTGTCTTCCTCTCTGGTTTCATCTTGTTTCATTTTTTCATCTCTTCCCCTATGATCCTCTGCCTTGTTTCTTAAATTCCACGTATCAGTGAGATCCTATGATAATTATCTTTCTCTGATTGACTTATTTCACTTAGCATAATACCCTCTAGTTCTGTCCACATCATTGCAAGTGGCAAGATTTCTTTTTTGATGGCTGTGTAATATTCCATTATATATATATATATATATATATATATATATATATATATATCACATTTTCTTTATCCATTCATCTAACTCTAATTCTGATGATTACTTTGTCTCTTAGGAAGGTACTGTTGTAGGAAGGTATTGTTTTTTTTCTGGACCTTTTGTATTCTTTATCATTTTTTTGTTTTGTTTTTTTGAAAGCCAGACATCTACTGTAGCATAGAGACTGAGATAAATAATTTGTGTGCCTGGAAATAAGCACACCTGTCCTTCTACTAGGCCTTTAGTATAGAGTTAGTAATTGGGCTGGGTTTGAGATTACTGTCAGTGTACCACAGGCTTAAAATTCTGAACTGTACTTTGTATTTTGGGGTAGGGGTAGTCTACCAGAGGTTTACTTTTCTCCACTCTCACATTTAGATTTGAAGCTTTTATTGCACCTCAGAGAAAGTCTTACAAGTTAATTTTTGCTTGGTGCTAGTTAACTGACAGTGGGGATTGGGAGTTGGGGTGGAGATGTTCTCTGTTCTAATTAAGACTCACTCTTAGGCAGTCACCATCCCTGGCTCTTGGGGGTGTGGGTTTTCTCAGTGCTCCTGCCTCCACTAGCATAGTTCTAAGCCCAACACATTTTTCTGCCTCTGTACCTGGGATAGATTTTTTTTTTTCCCTCCTGTTCTCTTCTCTTGGCCCTCTCTTTACAAGTGCCCTAAGAGTGACAGGTTTTGTCTGCCTCAAATTAAGGCTTTTGTTCCCTCGAAGATAGGAGTGGAGAGTCCTAGCAAGCTATTGCAGCAAGTCCTCCAGCAAGGGCTACTGTTCCTCTCCCAAGTTTTGCTCAATAAAGAGACCTTCCCAGTATTCTCCAAACCTTTTGTGTGACCACCCAGTTGGTTCATGGAGGAAAAGCTCATAAGAGTGTTGAGACTCCCTATGTTTGCAGCTCCAGAGGCTTCACCCTTTCTAACCAATCATCTTAGCTGAACTTCTCTTCTTGTTCAGCTTTGTCTAGATAAGCCAGTGTCACATCTTGTCTCTCTGTTGGTTACTGGGCAACCTCAACGCTTGGATGGATTAAAGAAAGTTCTGAATTTGTTGTTTGTTTGTTTGCTCATGGTAAGTTTGGCAGCATCTCTTTGTCCAGGTTTGTGCATCCCTAAAAGGACACCAGAAGTCCCATGACAATTTTTAAAATTCTCCTGATCTCTTTATATATTTCCTACTCATTACATCCCTCTCACCAGCTGACAACTGGTCACTTTCTGAGAAAGAAGACATTATCAGATGGGAATGTTTGCCACTTTCTGCAGCCCAACATCTGTACCTATCCTTTTCTCCATTCTTCCTGTCACTGGGGATGGAGTGCTCTCTCTAGCTGTCCAAGGCTCATCTTCATTTCAAAGCCCATCCTGATTTAACTTCTCAGGGATTCTGCCTGTATCAATGTTCCCTTTATTTTTATTTTTATTTTTTTTTAAAGATTTTATTTATAGGGGTGCCTGGGTGGTTCAGTCGTTAAGCATTCTGCCTTTGGCTCAGGTCATGATCTCAGGGTCCTGGGATCGGGCCCCGCATCAGGCTCCCTGCTTGGCAGGAAGCCTGCTTCTCCCTCTCCCACTCCCCCTGCTTGTGTTCCCTCTCTTGCTGTGTCTCTCTGTCAAATAAAATCTTTTATTTTATTTTTGTTTTTAAAGATTTTTATTTATTTATTTGACAGAGAGGGGGAGAGGGAGAGTGGCAGGCAGAGGGAGAAGCAGACTCCCCACTGAACAAGGAGCCCGACTCGGGACTCGATCTCATGACCCTAAGATCATGACCTAAGCCAAAACCAAGAGTCGGTTGCTTAACCGACTGTGCCACCCAGGGGCCCCGACTTTTAAATTTAAATTAAAAATAAATAAAATTTTAAAATTCAGTTTCTCAGTCACAGTAATCCCATTTCATGTCCTCACATGAGGCTAGAGGCTACCATATTAGAAAGTGCAGCTCTAGAGTGATCTAATCTATTTCAACACATTCTGATGACTCCAGATCTCTTTTTTCAACTCCAGAGTTTTACTTCCAGCTGTTTCCTGAAAAGCTTCATGTCCTATAGGAACTTAAAAATATACTGATTTTTAGCTGACCCTTGAATAATGCAGGGGTTAGTGGCACCAAGTCCCCCTACCCCCAGTCAAATAAAAGTCGAAAACTTATAAATGTTGACTCTCCAAAAACTTAGCCACTAATAGCCTACTATTGACTGGGCACCATACTGTCAACAGTTGACTAACACATATTTTGTATGTTATGTGTATTATATACTATATTCTTAGAATAAAGTAAGCTAGAGTAAAGAAAATGTTATTAAGAAAATCATAAAAAATAATCAGGAAATTAGATTTGCAGCACTGTATTGTATTTATTTTTAAAAATCCATATATAAATGGATCTGCACAGTTAAAACCCATGTTGTTCAAGGATCAACTGTATACAAAACAGAACTCATCTCTTTCCTCTGTCTCTCTGTTCCCAGTGTCCCTTATCTTAGGAAATTGCATTAATTTCTATCAGGCTTCTTTACCTTACTGATTTCTCTTTTCTCCTTGCCCTACCCAATCAATGGTTATGCTAAGTACTATTATGTCTTCCTCCAAATAGTTCTTAAATGTGTTTACTTCTTTATTTTTACATCTACTGTGCAGTTTAGGCCAGTACCTCTCAAACTCTACTGTACCAACAAATCTTCCAGGGCCCTTATAAATGTAGACTCTGATTCAGTAGGCCTGGGATGGGCCGGCACTTCCGGGCTTCCAGGTGGTGCTGCCATTGTTGCACTGATGACATTTTGAATAGGAAGTAAACCCTTCCTGGAGAGAGTCTTTTAAAGAGTCTCTCTGCTGCTTTGAATCCTTCCTTCCTCTAACCTGTTTGCCACACTGCAGTTGGAGTGATCTGTATAATATGTAAATCTGATCATCTCAATTCCTAGCTTAATATACTTCAATTTCTTGATTTCAGAATGAAGTAGGGATTCATTAGAGATCCTCCTTACCTCTTCAGCTTTATTTCCTAATACTCATCTTCCCCACCCCAACTTGCTCATATTCTGTGTGTGTATGGTTTGAAGGGGTCTTTGCATGTGTTTTTCTGTTCAGCATGATATGCTCTTCTTCCATTCCCTTTGTTCCTATAATCCCTCCTTAGGTCTCAGCTTTGATATCACTCTCCCTGAGAAGCCTTCTTTAACTCCTCAAGACTAGATAATCTTTTCTTTTCTTTTTTTTCTTTTCTCCTATAGCATTCTGTGGCATCTAATCATGCTAAATTATTAGTGCCTATTTACTTGTCTTTTTAACCGGATAGACCGTCAACTTCTTGAGGTCAGGAACTATCTTTTTAATTGTTAGCAAATAGTAGATGCTCAATAGATTTTTTTTTTTTTTGAAAGGGTGAACAAGATATGAAGACAGTATGCTTTGTGGAGATGTGAGTGCTTCCCTGATTAAGCTTCCCTAGTAGCTTCCAACTTTAGAGTTTCAGAAGGATCCACAAAGGAAGAAATTGAGGTATGAGAGGTGTTTTGGGCTTTGTTTTCACTAGGGAATGATACTTTCCAAGACCTCAGTTTATTCCCAGTTTTTTGAATATGATATATGAGTATCATATGGAATATGAATTTATTGAATATGGCATAATATGTTTTTTAATATGCATACCATAAAACACTAAGTCTGCTAGATGCTGTGAAGAAAAGCTTCTATGATCAAATAGTTTAAGAAACACAGCATAATCTTCCCACCTCTTAAAATTCATGTTACTATGTAGTTACATACTAAAGTCTCTGCAAAACCCTCAGTAAAGAAACCTATTTAAATTTGTTTAACTTGATGTTTTTCTAGCTTATTTGACCAAAGAACTCCATTTTAATTTCCCTTTGGCAAATGCAGAGATGAAAGAGAAATTTAATTGCCTCTGTCAGACAATAAGTTTAAATGTGAAATAAAATTTACTTATACATGTTCTGGCTCAAACACTCACTGAAGCAGTTTCAGGACCTACTGTTCCTTTTTTTCCATTTAGAACCCATTGTGGACTAATATGTATTAGACATCTGAGCCATCACCAGATTCAACTTTATTTAATTGATAAAAACCTAATATTTTCCAACCAGGAGCCACAGTTTTCTTAGATCACAACAGCACTAGCAGTTTCTTTTCCCAAAGACACAAAGTTGTGTTTTTGTTTCTGTTTTCTGTTTTTTGTTTTGTTTTGTTTTGCTTTGCTTTTTGTTTTTGCAAGGATGCGTAGAGGACAATAAAACTGAATCATTTAAAGTGGTCAAGGTAATGGCCTCTAGAGCCACATAACTGGGGTTCAAAACCTGGCTTTACCATTTACTTCCTGATGTGATTTTATCAACTTACTTTGCCTCTCTGTGTCTTAGTTTTCTCATCCGTAAAATGAAGTGACAACGGTATCTACCTTAGAGGCACATTGTAAGGTACAAATGAGTTAATTTACATAAAACTCATATACTAAGTGTTCACTAAGTATCAGAAATCAAATTATTAAAATCTACCAGGTGGGATATCAGCCAGGGTCACTCATTGATGAAGTGACCTACCATCATATACCAGCTTCAAAGAACAATCAAATTGTCATAACTTTTGGCCTTCTTTTGAATGCTGAAATGACTGATAACTATTAGAATACTAGGTATGTATTGTATATTTAAAGGAAATTGCATAACTAATGAGGCTGCTTAGAACAACTATAATATATATTTCTTGTTTGGAATTTTATTTCCTTCATGTGGTATTTGTACTTGGGGTTTGAGAAAAATGGAAAAGATAGTGGTAGATAAAAGTCCTTCAAAACTTGGGAGTCAATTTGGAGAAAAACAAAAGGAAGAATAGACAATCTATATGGGTCTAAAGAAAGTAAATTATTAATAATCTTCCAAAATAGAAAGCACCAGGCCTACTGAGTTCACTGGTGAGGTCTGCAACAGAATTTTTTTAAAAAGATTTTATTTATTTATTTGACAGAGAGAGAGACAGCAAGAGAGGGAACACAAGCAGGGGGAGTGGGAGAGGGAGAAGCAGGCTTCCTGCCAAGCAGGGAGCCTGATGCGGGGCCCGATCCCAGGATCCCGGGATCATGACCTGAGCAGAAGGCACTTAATGACTGAGCCATCCAGGTGCCCTGCAATAGAATATTTAATGAAGAAATTATACTGATTATCTACAGTCTCTTCCAGAAAATAGAAGCAGGGGGAATACTTCCTAACTCATTTTAAGGCCAGCATCATCCTAACACCAGACAAAGACATTACAAGAAAAGAAACTACAGATCAACATCCCTCATGAACACAGATGCAAAAATCCTCAAAAAAATATTAGTGAATGAATTCAACAATGTATAAAAAGAATTATATGCCATGACCACGTGGGATTTAAGCCAGGTATTTAAGGCTGGTTCAATATTTGAAAATCAAATGATGTAATCCATCACATCAATAGGTTAAAGAAGAAAAATCACATAATCATTTCAATAGGTATAGAAAAAAATTTGACAAAATTCAACATCCATTCATAATAATAATTCTCAGCAAACTAGGAGTAAAGGGTAACATCCTCAACTTGATAAAGAACACCTACAAAAACCCTACAGTTAACATCATACTTAATGGTAAAAAACTAGAAGCTTTCCTGCTAAGATTAGGAACAAGACAAGGATGTCTCCTCTCACCACTCCTTTTCAATTGTACTGGAAGTCCTAGTTAATGCAGTAAGACAAGAAAAAAAATAGTATGAAAATAGGATGTTCACGGATAGGACGACACAATGTTGTCAAGATGTCAGTTCTTCCTAACTTGATTTATTGATTTAATGCAATCCCATTAAAATACCAGCAAGTAACTTTGTGGATATCAACAAACGGATTCTAAAGTCCATATGAAGAGGCAAAAGACCCAGAAGAGCCAATTCAATGTCAAAAAAGAACAAAGTTGGTGGACTGATAGTGTCCAACTCCAACACTTACTATAAAGCTATAGTAATCAAGACAGTGTGGTATTGGCAAAAGAATTGACAAATAGATAGTGAGGCAGAACAGAGAGCCCAGAAATAGACCCACAGAAATACAGTCAACTGATCTTTGGCAAAGGAGCAAAGGCAATACAAGGGAGCAAAGATAGTTTCTTCAACAAATGGTGCCAAAACAACTGCTCATTCACACACAAAAAAGAATCTAGACACAGACTTTATACCCATCACAAAAATTAACCTAAAATGGATAATAGACCTAAATACAAAGTATGAAACTGAAATTCCTAGAAGACAACATAGGAGAAAATCTTAATGACCTTAGGTGTGGCAATGACTTTTTAGATACGCCAAAGGCATGATCCATGAAAGAAAGACTTGATAAGCTGTCAGCAGTCATGGAGTAGAGTTCTGTTTCCCTATACCAAATGCAGTCTTCTCTCTGAGTACACATTAGACCTTTACAGAACTTTATGTTGTTCTTAACTAACAGGTCAACTTACTGTTTCAAAATCATATGGAGTCCATAGCCAGGGAGCAGGCATTAGGCTTTTGGTCTAGTTAACTCCCTTGCCGTGTACAAGAGCAGAGCTAGACCTAACTGCATAAGCCATAAAGGAACAGAATATCTCAGGAGAGATCCTCCTTGTTTCTTTGTCTTTTGAACAAGCCACTCTTTTTTTTTTTTTTTAAGATTTTATTTATTTATTTGAGACAGAGAGAATGAGAGAGACAGAGAGCACATGAGAGGGGGGAGGGTCAGAGGGAGAAGCAGGCTCCCTGCCGAGCAGGGAGCCCGATGCGGGACTCGATCCCAGGACTCCAGGATCATGACCTGAGCCGAAGGCAGTCGCTTAACCAACTGAGCCACCCAGGCGCCCTGAACAAGCCACTCTCCAATCCACAGAATAAAGAAGTTTTAACCCCTAGTTTCTTTTTTTTTTCTTTTTAAAGATTTTATTTATTTATTCATGAGAGACAGAGAGAGAGAGAGAGAGGCAGAGGGAGAAGCAGGCTCCCAGGGAGCAGGGAGCCTGATGCGGGACTCGATCCCAGGACCCTGGGACCATGACCTGAGCCGAAGGCAGACGCTTAACCATCTGAGCCACCCAGGCGCCCTAACCCCTAGTTTCTTTTGCGTCTCATAAATTCTCTTGCATAATCTACTCATTAGATGTATACACGTGGTCCTTCTTTTCTCCCCCATTTTTCTCTGCAGGCAGAGAGGTTCTGTAAAGTGGGGGAGAGCAAGGGGAATCCATTGAGTGGTTCCCAGCTGCAGGTGGTTTTCTCCTAAAATACCTCAAATTAGTATGCTTTTGTGAGGATTGATTTCTATTCTAGGACTACGCAATCTAATCTACATTAGAAATGTCTAATCTTCCTACTGGCATTTGCCCCTTTCTTTTTCTGGTTTTCATTTCAAAGGACCCTCACATTAAATGCACATGGCTCTGCTTAAGCCACCTGACTAACTAAAGCTAGGATTTAAGTGTTTCTCCTTAATGCTCAAGTTTATTCTCTGATAATGGGATGGGAAGATGTATAGCCTCATTGTATGCCACCACACTAGTCTGACTTTTAGTTGTTTTACAAAGTGGTAAGCAGACAAGACTACAGATATTGACTTGAGCTATCTTAAGGAGAAGGGAATTATTGGAAGATGGTTAGGAAGCATATGGAGTAATGGGAACTGGGAAACTAAGACTTGGAAATGGGTAGGAATCAAGGGGGTTGTGGAGCTGTTGTTCCTGTTCTGTGTCTTTCTTTTTTCATTTCTTAATGGTGTTTTTGAAGAGCAAAACTTTTAAATTTTGATAAAGTCCCATTTATCACATTTTTAACTTCAATAATTTATGCTTTTTATGTCCTAAGAAATATATGCTTAACCTGAATATCACAAGATTTCTCCCTTATGTTTGAAAACATGTTTTAAAAGCTTCTGGAGGCTTTATAGTTTTTACTTCTAGATTTAGTTCTACAATCCATTTTAAATTAATCTTTGTGTGAGGTGAGTTGGCTAACTACCTTATCACACATTGCCTAAAGTCATCTACATTTCAATTCTTTTCAGAATTTGCTTATTGATTAGTAGTCTTCATTTAAAAAAAATCAAGAAGTATTCCTTTGTCCATAGAATACACATTTTGTTTTGCCTATGTAGAATGGTATAATAGTGAAATTGGACAAGTAACGGCAAGTTTAGGATTTTTGGAAGCCAAAAAATCTTTCTTATGTTAGTTTTTCCCATTTTTTCTTTTAAAATATGGGAATTTCCTCTATTAGTATTTATCATTATTATTCCTATTTTTATCAATGAAAAATTGAAGCTCAGAAATATAGTTTTTTCAGCCATACAAATTATTTATGCTAATATTAGGTGTTAGCTCATGCCAAATTTTCCATTTTAGCACATGTGAAATAGAAAAAAGTCACAAAATATTTATAAGAGGGGCGGGGCAAATGATTATAGCATAAATATCAACTTTCTATTCACAAATAGATAATGTTATATACAT